CGGAGGGCGCGGGGGCCCGGCTCGGGTACTTGCTGTCCCCGCATCCACACTTGCACCGGAGGGTGCAGAGGCTTCTCGGTCGCCTCTGCGCCCATTCTCCCCACCTCCTCCTCTTCTTTTTCTTCCTGGCAGACAGCCAGAGAAAGAGCAGCTCATGGAGAGGCTGAGAGAAACGGCTTTTAAGCCATACCCAAAACGGGACAATAACCTTCAACAACTGGACTTACAGACATATTTCCTTCGTTTTCAGTGAAATCGCACTCTCTGGCTGGAGACACAGATGGCCTCAAATGAGAGAGATGCTATATCGTGGTATCAGAAGAAGGTAACAGCAGTAATTCCTATTTGAAAACCATACTTCTGCAGAAAAACTCCCGTAAAGAAAAGTGTTTCTTTCCTTAAGTTTGGTAATGTCACATATTCTTATGTAATATCTCAACATAACTGAAAAAAAATTGAAGTGCAAGGTCATTATAAACCTAGTTTCAAGTTCCAGGATATGAGCTGTAAGTCACCTTTCTCCAGGCTGCATGCACAAACTACCATGCAATGCTTTGCTTTGTAAATTATCAAACTTAAAATTGTTTTTTTATAAAGACAGAAATGAAATTCTTATCTGCATGACTCAGATTGCTACTGTCGTCTGATTGAGCTTTCTCTACCTCTTACTTCTCTCTGATATTCCTGTTGATATCTTCCTTAGGGAGTGGAAATGTCTTCTAGATGATTTTTAATTTAAGATATTTGGGGTGTTGCCTTTTTACTTTGCAGATCCTGTCCTTTGTTTTGTTTTGTTTTTGAAACAGCCTTTGGAAGTATGAATTTGCTATGTGAGAAACATATATTTCAGACAAGCATATTTAATAGAGTCATGACTCTGAGGTTTGACTTAGATACAAAAATTGCCTTTACACCATTTAAATAGCCTGCTCCTTATTTCAGATTGGAGCATATGATCAGCAGATATGGGAAAAGTCAATCGAACAGACTCAGATTAAGGTAAATTGATTTCTTTGATTCTGGCTTTGTTACTGCTTTAAAGAGAAGAGTGGATCATACTTTTTAAAGAATATGCACTTATCCACCAAGTATGCATGGATAATGATAAAGGGCAAGTTGATATGTGGCCTCAGCAGCAAATGTCCCAAGTAAATGGGAATATGGTTTCTTATCACTGGTCAGTTTTTACCATATTACAGTTCAGATCCAGTATTGCCAGACGTTTATTCGAGAGAATCTGATAAACATATTTTTAACAAAGAAATAGCCACATTTTTTGAGAGGGTAGTAGTCCTCTTCCTCTCTTCCTCTTTTTCTCCATCTTTCTCCTCCTCCTCCTAATCATCACTAACTGTACAAACCAAATCAAATTCCTGTTTGGCCTACACCTAGCCTTCGACCCCCAGTTTTTCAATAACTCGTTTAGAGGTGAGCCTTCAAGAACTGCGCAGAGCCTTCAGTTTCTTCCTGCTAGAGCTGCTGTGTAACTCAGAATGCCAGTTGGTTAATTTGTAATAGTGGAGGGGAGGGTTACATTCTAGTCTCTAATTCACCAAATGGGAGTGAGAAATAGTGGTGTTGTTGCAGATTAGCCATTGTGTGGTTACTGGGCAGCCATTTGTAATTTGATTTTCTTGAAGAAAAGCCCAAAGAGAGGAATGTAAATCTCGATGTAGGGTCTCACGCCCTTGGGAAATGTTAACAAATGCCAGTACATTCTTGGTTTGGGACTCTTTTGAAAAGTTCTGTTACAGACTTGTATCAACACGTTAAAAACATGGGTAAGTACAACTGATAGTGTGCTACTTATCTAAGTTACACTGACCCGACTAGACCTCTAAATATCTTTGGTGGACTGTATTTACCCATTACTCAGGGTACCTTCCTTTATAAGATAATCACCTTAAAAAATTGTTTGAGCTTCTTGGAACACAACTAACTTCATAATTTCCTACAGCTCTTCCTTATATTAATGGAAGATGGGGTTCAGATGAATCCCCACATTTTATTTTGTAACTGTCTAAATCTTGTCTAGCTATTCTTGTGTGAGCTGCTAAGCCATATCAATAGTGTAGTAGAAATGGCTGGACTGGGAAGTTAGGTATTATTTAGTGATCTCTTACCTTGTGATGCTCAACATGTCCATGTGGTTTTGTCTGGGTTTTGTTTTCTTGAACCTTAAAATGATTTTACCTCCTGCTGCAGAATAAGAAATCTTCCCCAAGCCAATTTAGATTTTCATAACTTACTTCCATGCATCTTACCATCTACCTTTTAGGGCACCCTATCAGAGCTCCGTGTGTGTGTGTGTGTGTGTGTGTGTGTGTGTGTGTGTGTGTGCGCGCGCGCGCAGTGTCGTGACTAATGTGCAACTCATATAGCAAGTGTTAAGAATATTGGGAAATTGCAGGGCAGGCTTCAAGCACAGGAATAGCTGGCCAGCTTTTAAAACAGACTCCATTTGCTTTGTGTGTGTCTTTTTGATGGGTAGGATAGGATCTGGGGAGAGTTGGAGGAGGGGAAAGAAGATGGTAAAAACATTGAAGGAGGGGAAAAAAAACCTTCAATTTTTTTAAATGTCCTGGAAAAGATAAGCAGTTCCTGCCTTCATGGGTTTCATGGATAGTGTGAAAAAAAAAAAAACAACTAAGTTTTTTTGTTTTGTTTTTCAAAAAAAGATGTTTAGTTAGATTAAACAAACAAAGCTAAACTAAAAATAAAGAAAAAGTTTAAAATGAAAACACAAAGTCAGTATCGGATCACAGCACAACTCTACCATTCTAAACTCCGTTTATGGGGTTGGAGAGACGCAAATCAGTTAAGAGCACTGGCTGGCCTTCCAGAGGACCCTGTTCAATTTCCTGCACCACATGGCAGCTCACTACTGTCTGTAACTCCAGTCCAAGGGGCTCTGGTACCCACTTTGGCCTGGGTGGGTATTGTATGTATGTGGCGTACATTCATACTTGCAGGCAAGACACTCATGCATAAAAGTGAAGTGTTAAAAGTTTTCTTTTCAAGACATGGTTTCTCTGTGTAACAATCCTATCTGTACTGGAACTAGCTCTTTTAGACCAGGCTGGCCTCGAACTCACTGAGAACTGCCTACCTCTGCCTCCTGAGTGCTGGGATTAAAAGTGAGCCACCACCACCTGGCAAAATGTTAAATTTTTAAAAGTATATTTATAAAAGTATAGTTAAAAATTTTAAATGGGTACTGGAGAGATGGCTCAGTCGTTAGTAGCACCAGGTTGCACTTTCAGAGGACCTGGGTTCGGTTCATAGCGCCCACATGGTGGCTCACAACCATCTGTAACTCCAGTTCCAGGGGGATCTGACCCTCTTTTTACCTCTGTGGTCATGGAAGTATTCACGCAATGCACATACATACATGCAGTCAAAACACCCATATACATAAAATAATTTAATCTGGCACCTTCTTTTGACACACATAACATAACCTAAAATTTAAAAGAATTTTAAAAAAAGATTCATTAATCTTACCTGGATCAAAAAATTGATAAGGATTGTTTGGCAAACTGTCACTGTGTAGGACGTTTTGGTAAATGTTGAAAACAGGGGAAAGTTTTAACAGAAGTATATGACTTACGGAGCAAGCAAGCATCCCAATGTGGTTGCAGTGAAAGTGTCTAAATGGAGTGGTATAAATGAGTTTTACTCAAAATGACTGTTTTAAGGAGAAGAGAAAGATTTGTGTGTGGTATGGATGTGGGATGCGGTGATGCTGTGTGTGTAGCATGGGTAGCGAAGGCTGGTGTCTAATGCATGGCAGTCTTCCTGCCTTTGCCTCCCAAGTGCTAGGATTACCTTGACATCAAAGCTAGTTAAAGGCATTGAAAAAACAAGTTGTGAACATAGGAGTGAAAATGCTTAACAAAATAGTAACACCATGAATTTAGCAATATACAGAATGGCTTATCTACTGTGATTGAATACAGTTTGTGTAGAAATGTACCTTTTTAGACTGTAACTCTGGCTGGCCTGGAATGATTTGACCAGTCTGGCTTTGCATTTGCATTAATCCTCCTGCCTTTGCCTCCTAGGTTCTGTGATTAAAAGTGTACACCACTATACTCCCTTGCAACATTGATTTTTAATATTTGAAAATAAATTATTATGACTAATGGAATAAAGACCTAAACCATATGATCTTCTCAGTAGACGTAGGAAAAGCATTTGACA